CTATACCTCACCTCCTCAATAATAAGGCTTCAAAGACGACCAGAATAAGTTGAGTGGCCTACAATATTGTTTAATTAATAGTGTTTACCTCTTTGATAGCTAGGACAGGTGAATAAAGAGGATTAAAAAAATCAATCAGGCAATCAACCAATAAGAATTTGTTATGAGTAATAAATGATAGTTATTGATTACTAGATCCCCATATGCAAGACCAATAAAATTACAGAATCAGTCTCTATCTCTAGTCCCTATAGTATCCCACATACCAAGTACTGAGCTAGGCACAGGGGATAACAAGTCCAAAGAGAAAGAAATGCTTCCTGCCCTCAAGAAGCTTACATTCTATTGGGAAGATAACAAGTAAATAGAAAGAAAATACATAGAGATGAGGGGTGGAAGAGGGCAGCCTGATATTTTCATGATCATTCATGACATTCCCTAAGGAGGTGAGCTTTCAACTTTATGAGATCAGATCACAACGTATATACATGGATTGCCTGGACAAAGAGATGTTAAATTCAGAGCACCATTTTCATATGGCTTTAGAGAAACTCTCAGTGAAATATCAAATACAAATCACCCAGTTTAAAGGTACAAGCCTGGAAAAGCCCTTGCTAATTAGGACTAGCAGTAGCTCCAGTAAATCAGAAATGGTTGCAGACATTGAATGAATCCCAAATAGGGAAAAATTCACCCAACTCTTCACAAAATTAAAAAAAAATTCTCCCCATATATACCTAGGAGAACAAAGCGAGGCCTGATTCATTCACGAAAGCTATCTGGGACAAGGGATTCCTATACCAGGGGCCAAATTTGTGAGTCAGAGCCAATAAATAGTGCTTAGCTAACTGCCTAAGTACTCATAATAACAATAAGAACAACAATAAGAACAATACTAACTACCTCAAAACCCAGCCTATGATCCATGTAGCAAGGTTGGGGGAAATGCAAGGTAAGGGAACGCTGATGTAGAGTAGGGCCCTTTGTAATGCCCTGAGGTTCTTCCCTCAGGCTTTCAACGCCTGACAAGAATCCAGACAAATTGGCCAGTTGAACTCTAGAAATGTCATTAATTGAACATCAGAGTATTTGATGTCCATGTGGAAAACTACTCTCTTCTTAAAATGTGCTACCAATGCGGGAATTTCAAGAACAATTCACAGTGAAAATTGCATTTTTCAGAGAGGCAGCTTAAGTTCATTGTGATTCTGCTTGGCCTCAAGTCGATTATCATCTGTCCTAAATAGGACTAAGCATGTCTTCCAAAATAAAGGAATCAAACCAAGATAATGTATTAACTCCTTGTTGCCTATGGATAAGATCAAGCTATATAGCTCTACCAATAAAATAAGCAGTTCTTTTGTTCTGGAGGATCTTTCTCCAAAGATATCAAAATATCATTCAGACTTCATACATGTAATATTCTTTTAAAAAATATTAGACTTAGACCTAGGGCGCCTCGTCAATCTTGAGAACATAATACTGCTCTCCTTGGAGGCGGCATCTTTGTTGGGCAGGTCACTCAACTAATTTCCCTCTGCAAGTTCGACTCCTGAGGTTGGGCACTTAAACTCCCCTGTTCTGGTGCTTTGAGCAGTCAGGTCCACTCCCTTTTAGGTTGGTGTCTACTGCTGGGCAAGCAATTCTATTGCAAGATGCCCGGCCTCAAATCTCCTCCACAGACCCAGGTCCAAGCAAAGACTGATCCCTTCTTTTTTTGACTGACAAAACTCATACTCCTCAGAGTTTACTCCTACCTTAACCCAGCCCCTAGAGAATCTATCTCAGTTTTTAAAGAGCTACTGAAATGTGGCTCATCTACCAATGGCTGCTGGCCCTCTAATTTGTTCAGGCTTGACTAATGAATCTACTCACATGGTATAATGGAGTAGAGATACTGCTAGTACGTTGTTTAAGTCCTTAACTCCTTATTGTTACCTGCTTTTTACCTTCTGTGATTTCTTTAACTGGACTAGGGGAAAATCAATTGAGCAAGGATCAGTTGAGTGCCCCTCACCCTCACATAAGAAATAGAGAGTATGGGGAATAAAAAGGCTCTTTCCCAGCTCATTGACTTTCCTCTAGTATTTATCTCCTCTTGTTTCAAGTATAAGCCATTTCCAATCTGTATTATTCATACTTCTAGTGGGAAAAAAATAAAAGAAGATACTCAAATGATTTCAGAATGGCTCATTCTACTCTCAGCATTTCCTGTCTTGCCAGTTCATTCTGTCACACTTTTGAAATGCAGGTGTTTTGCTACTTCCTCTTTAATTAACAGATGTCTTGCTTCAAAACTTATTACGAAAGCCACTAAGAGGCAGTGTAACACAAGTGTATAGAGAGCTTTCCTCAGGGGACTAAAGGCCTGGGTTCCAGTACTATCTCTTACGTGTACTATCAGGTGACCCTAGAAAAGTGACTTACCCTCTCAAAGCCCCAGGTAACTTTGTGACTGTAAGTTGTAAAGCAGGTGCTAATTTGCATTGGTAAAGACAATCTCCTGTCTAGGAATTTCCTGTACCAAAAAACTAAAAAATCCAGACCAGACAGATAGACAGACAAGACAGACAGAAAGACAGATAAACAGAGATAGATAGATAGATAGATAGATAGATAGATAGATAGATATGAAATCAAGTGAAGGCAACTTATGAAATGGGTATACCAGGGAACACTATTGATGATGATGATGATGATGATGATGATGATGATGATGATGATGATTCATAGTACATCTATTATTCTCATCTCCAATTTTTTTGGTGAGGCAGTTGGGGTTGAGTGACTTGTCCAGAGTCACACAACTAGTAAGCGTTCCACCTAGCTCGCCTCTCTCCATTTTAATGATGGGAAAACAAAAGCTCAGAAATCATAGTTTAGCCCATACCCATGTAAATCATTGAACTTCTTTGAGGCTCAGCTTTCTCATCTGCAAAATGGGAGAGATACAGGCATTGGACCTCTGAGATCCTTTCCACTTCTAAAACCATGAGATATGTTACTTAGTTACTTGCCTATGGTCATATCATTAGCATGTGTCATCGAGAGGGTCATTCAGCACTCTCTCCATTAAACCCTGCTACCTCTTATAGATGCTACAGGAGCCAAACATGGGATGATCAGTGTTGCCAATCAACCAGGAACCAAATGTGGCAGACTCTGTCAGGCACTGGAGATGCAAAGACAAAAATGAAACAGTCCCTACCCTCAAGGAGTTTATATTCTGTGGGGGCAGGGGGAAGCGACAACATGTGCATAAATAAACAGACAAAAATTATGTATGATAAATATTTTTGAGGAAGACAGAAGGATACTAACAACTGCAAAGGGATGCACCATGGACAATGGTCACTTAGAGAAATGAATAAAACATTTCCCTAGAAATGACAACGTCTTTTGAACCAACGAGAAAGCTGTCATTAGGAATTTTGGCAACCAGAGAAAATTATTTGAGTCAGGGTCAGAGGGTGGTCAGTCTTGGTTATGTACGGATACTCAAGGATGGCTGTTTCCCAAGAAGTATGACCCCCAACATTTATGGTAGGGATGAAAACACCAACCCAATCTCTGGAACAGACAATGGGAGAAGGGAATATGGAATCAGAACCTGAGAGTTAGAAGAAACCTCAGAGGTCAACTAGTGCAGCCCATACACAAAGGATTTCCTATGCTAACATACCTAACAAGTGGCTATCATGTCTGTGCTTGAAGTTCTCCAAGGAAGGGGAACTACTGCCTTCTGAGGTAGCTTTTTCTACTTTAGGACATGGAGCCTAAATTTACCTCTGCAACTTTCAGCCATTATTTCTGAATCTTCCTTCTAGGGCCAAATGGGCCCTAGAAGGTTTAATCCCCTCTCCTTATGACTGTCCTTCAAGTACTTCAACACCACTTTTCTGTTCCCCCAGGGTCTTTTCTTTCCCAGACTAAACATTCCTAATACCTTCAACCAATTCTCACATGACATGGACCCAAAGCCCTTCACATCCTGGTTGCCATCCTTTCAGCTCTCTGGTTTCTTTAAAGTCCTCCTTAAATCATGGTGCCCAGAACTGAAGACGATGCTCCAGATGAGGTCTGCTGAGGGCAGAGTATGGTGGAACTATCACTTCCTGATACCTAGAAGCCACGCCCCCTCTTAATGCAGTCCAACATCCTATTAGCTTCTTTGGCTGTCGTCTCTATCACATCTCACACTAATCTTGAACTCCTCTAAAATTCCCAGATCTTTTTCAGAATGACTGTCATTGAACCAAACCTTTTCCATCTCATACTTGATTTCTTGTACCCAAATGAAGATTTTACATTTATGCTTATTAAATTTCATCATCAGCCCAATGCTCTTAGGCAAGAGGTGGGCAAACAATGGTCTACAGGCCAAATCCAGCCATTGCCTGTTTTTGAAAGGTCCATGAGCTAAGAATATTTTTTTTATTTTAAAAAAATAAGTCTTATGTTTTAAAATGTAAAAAAAAAACATTTTAGCTCTTGGCAGTGGGCTTGGGCCAGATTTGCTCCTTGGGAAGCCAACCTCCATGATCTAGACTGTGAAGATTCTTTTGGATACTGACTTTACATCCACCATGTTAGCTATACCTTCCAGCTCTGTGACATCTGCAAATTGTATGATTACACCATCTATATTTTTATCCAAATCATTGATAAAAATAAAAGCACTAATTAAAAAAAATCAGATGGGAAAAGGGACAGTGGTCAGTGAAGGTGGGCCCTGGGAGAAGGTTGGGAACCTCAGAGTTGACTCTGCATGATGTGGAGACAGCAAGCCAAGACCTTGCCATAAGAGGTAAGCTTCCCCCTCCAAGGTCAGCATCCTTAAGTAAAGCTCCAGCTTCTCTGCCTTAGTGCATCCTTCTAAAATGGTCATTGTTATCCACTTTTTGGTTCAGGTTATTTCCCGTGCAATGTTATCTACCTTTTAAAGGATTCAGAGGACATTACTTAAATCAAACTTTTGACATAATTATTCTTTTTCATAGAGGGAAAATGATTCCATCTGATCTGGAGAGAAGAATTGTTGAAGTTAAACAAAAAGTAAGTTTGTGCAGTGAGCAACGCATACCTCATTACAAGTTTGGAACACCTCGTTTCCATTTCTATCCAGGGGAAAACAGGTTCTGTTTCTGTTTTAAGAAACAGAAATCAAACTCCATCTCCTTCCTTGCAGGAAAATTTGGAAGTTCCCACCCAATCCCTGATTACTCCTCTGGAATAGAAGCTACACATTCAAGAGGCCAAGGTTACTAAGATGAAAAAGCCTTGTGGCCTTCCACAAGATTTGTCTTTATTTTGCTCTTGACATAACTTTCTCAATTACTTTGGATTCAGGGCTGGGGGTCTGTGATGCTATCACTGACTGAGTGTTGGCACGAGATGGACAGACTTCAGGAAGATTACTTTGACAAACAGAAAATATAAAATGCAGCATTCTAAGGAATAATCTAGGTGAGCCAGTGGATGAAGTGCTAGCCTTGGAGTCAGGAAGACCTGAGTTGATATGTGACCTCACACACCTATTAGCTATGACACCCTGGGCAAATCACTTTTCTGGGCCTCAATTTCCTCATCTGTAAAACAGGAACAATAGTATTACCTATTTCATTCGGTATTTTGAAAGCTCAAATGAGATAATACATGCAAAGTGCTTTGTAAGCCTTAAAACATTATATAAATACTAATTATTATTTTTATTGACACTATTAAAAATAATCCCAAAGCTTCCATGTATCTTATGTGAGGAGAAACTGTGGATAACTCTGAGTTTCAGCTCAGTTTGTCTTCAAACACATCCAAACATGTTTTTTCTTCTCTCCAAATATCATCTTTTGCGAGGAGCAAATAAGGTTTTCTTTAAGCTGTCACGGTGAAGCCACTCACTTTACACCTTGGTTCGTAGACCAGCAAGGTCAGTTTTGTTTTCAGAGCTCTGCTCTGCTAGTAGAGGTTTTTGGCAAATGCAGCCTGCAGGGATTAGGACAGCAAAAGACCGTACACGTTTTTCAGGGCTAGACAAAGTGAGAGAGAAGGCAGGAGGAGAAAGTTGGAGTGTATCACATCCTTTGTCTCCTAGTTAAGCAGCATTCTGAAGGATTACAGCCTTGGCCTTTTGTGCCACCTAGAGGTAAAACACGGGTCTAACGGTCAAAAGAGACAGGAACAGAAAAGATGGGGAGGGGGAAAATGTGATAAAGCTGGTAAATCTGTGACTTCCTCTTTGAACATTTCTCCCTGTGTCTCCATGGAAAAAATCCTCTCCTGTCTTTCTGTATGCATCCTTAATAAAAGCATCTTGGCCCATAGAAGATGTTATTTCTTCAGTTCCCAATGATCAGTGGGGAAAGGAGAAAGGGAACAAGCATTTATTAAGCACCTACTATGTTGCAGCCACTGTGATAAGCACTTTACAAATGTTATTTCATTTGCTCTTCACAACAACCCATGATGTTGGTGCTACTATTATCTCCATTTCACAATTCAGGAAACTGAGGCAGAGTTAAGTAATTTGCCCAAGGATCACATAGCTAAAGGTCAGACATGAACTCAAGTCTTCCTGACTTCAAGCCCAGCATTTCAACCACTTTGCCACCTGTGTGGAAATTGGGAACATGATGAATTGATGATGAAAAGAGGAAGAGGAGGAGGAGGATCAGGTTAGAATAGCATAAGAAGAGGGTGAAATTTAGGGCCTAGAAAATTAGATAGATAGATAGATAGATAGATAGATAGATAGATAGATAGATAGATAGATTTATAGATAGATAGATAGATAGATAGATAGATAGATAGATAGATAGATAGATGATAGATAGATAGACAGATAGATAGATAGACAGACAGACAGACAGAAAGATAGACAGACAGACAGACAGACAGACAGACACAGATAGACAGACAGACAGACAGACAGACAGATAGATAGATAGATAGATAGATAGATAGATAGATAGATAGATAGATAGATAGACAGATAGGTAGATAGATAGATAGACAGACAGACAGAAAGATAGATAGATAGATAGATAGATAGACAGACAGACAGACAGAAAGATAGACAGACAGACAGACAGACACACAGACAGACAGACAGACAGACAGACAGACAGACAGATAGATAGATAGATAGATAGATAGATAGATAGATAGATAGATAGATAAAGCATATATCTTGATATACACCCACATATTTATATATAGTGAATTTTCCAGGCCTTCAACCCTAAATCAATCAATTTCTATGTGTCTATTTCTACATATATATGTATAAAAGTATATAAGGAGGTGTGTAAGCATATATTTATATAAGTTTATATGCTATATAAGTTATATAGCTATATACTTACATAAATATATAAGGAAGTATATAAGTATGCTTATATAAGTATACTTATATACACAGAGATAGATCTATATGCAGATATTTAGATATGTGTGTATATATAAAGGTCGATATATATACATACAAAGATAGAGGTAGATAGATAGATAGATAGATAGATAGATATAGATAGATAGATAGATAGACGGATGGATGGATGGATGGATAAAGATAGATAGCAGCCATGATGGAGCAGATTCACCTATTATTTCTCCACAATAGCTATTCCAGAGAAGGAATGCACTTTCCAAAGCACATTGCCTGCTGGTTTGGACTATATCAAAGAAATGGCCATCAGGCAAGCTGCTCCTTCATACTCTTTTGTCTTTCCTCTTTTATCTAGGGATTCGTTCCCTTCTTTGTGAGTGCCACCGCAGGAACCACAGTGTATGGCGCATTTGATCCCCTTCTAGCTATTGCTGACATCTGCAAAAAATATAAGATCTGGATGCATGTGGATGTAAGTACCCTATGAAGGACTGACTCCTGAAGGATTTCCCCGCAGGAAGTCTGGGGCTGGGAAAGTGTGTTGGGAGTTTTTTTCTTCCAAGAACTTCTTTTTGTTGCTGTTGTTTTTGGTTTTTGCTTGTGACTCTTGGGATAAAAAAAAATTTCATGGTGGTCTTCTTAAGTTCCCCATCATGGCTAGAGGGAGTACGGAAGGCTATAGTTAGCCTAATATTAATGTTTCCAGGAATCAATTTGAAGTCAATGATAGGCAGGGTGATGTGACAGAAAATCTGAATCTGAAATCATAGGACTGGCTTTGAATCCAAACTCTGCTGCTAATTACTGTGTGACACTGAGCAAGTCACTTACCTGTCTGGGCCCTTTTTTCCTTAATGACAAAATGAGGGAGTTGGACTATATCCCTCCAATGTCCCTTTACGTTGTATTTCTGTGACCTATTATCTTCTGATGCCTCAACTTGCTTGCGTAAAATCAGAGAACGATAGCTTTAGACTTGGGAGGAACCTTGGAGATCGTCTAGTGCAACTCCTTAATTTTAAAGATAAGCAAATGGAGGCCCCCAAAGCATAAGTGACTCACCCAAGGTCATACAGGTAGCAAGATGAGGATTCAAACCATGGTCATCTGACCCCAATTCCACCATTTATTCCACTGTACCATGCTGTCTCTATGTGAAAGGGTTGGACTCTCTCGAGTTCAATACATTTTGAAATGTAATAATGAACATATTTCCATCATGATGGAAATTCCTAATCATAGAAGTCTTCTGGCCCCTATAAATAGCAAATGGAACTAAAGGTCTAATTCCCAAATCACAGAACTGAACAAAACCTATAGAGTAACAAAACTGACTGCAAACAATCAACTTCTTTACAGCAAGATTCTTTTTTTCCCCCCAGAACATTTTCTTTCCTTTTTGCTTGTGTGACACTTCTATGTAACACCCTTAAAGGAGACAAGATGTTGGGTTTAGGTCAGCATCCCAAAGTTGAGAAACTTTTTCAAAAAGGATTCCACATCAGACATGTGGGCTTGATGAAGAAAGCAGGCTTGGGTATTTGCTAAGTTGGCAATACCCAATTCCATGCAGTTTCTCATTTTAATCAGCCTAGAAAACATAGTTTATGTTTCCAGTATTTTGCCTTCATGACTAATTACATTTATTCCAAAGAATCACGAAGGCAGACTCACCCAAAATATTTCCAAATGAAAAATCTATTTTTAAAAGGATTTAAGTTTAGATTGTTTGCAACCTTATGCAAGTCACTCAACCTGCATAATCTCAATTTCCTTATTTGTAAATTGGAGATAATAATCTCACCTACCTCACTAGACATTTTTGTTGTTGTGGCTGGATTTGAGTCTAGGACCTGGGAGAACTGAAATTCCTTTTCCTTAGTTAAGGTCAGGCAGGCCTGACAAATTCTCACCATCATGGACGCAAAGTTGTCTCTTTGTTATCAGAAACTTGTTTGTTTCGTTTTGTTTTACCATCTCTCCCCCCCCCCCAACCCAGCAGTGTGGATTATGACAAAACTAGGCAAATTCTTGTTTATCTTCTTGGATGGCCTGGCCCCAGGCAGGAAATTATAGCATGAACTTTAGAATCCATGTAATACAACCAGCTCTCTCATTTACAGATGATGTCACTGAGTCCCAAAGAGTTTAAATGACTTGCTTATGGTCATGCAGCTTGTTAGTAGAAGAATCAAAATTAGAAGTTGGGTCTCGTGAACCACTTTCTTTCCATTATGACATGCTGCCCAGTTACACAAAGATTGACCAGCCTGTTTAACCTTGCTAACCAATCCACTAAAAGGAGTCACCTTAACGATTTTAAAAATAAGACATCCTCTCTGTTCTGAGTTCAGCTCCATGATCTCCGACCCATATTTCCTATTGAAAATAGAAATAGGAGTTCTTTCAAAATACTGTATTAACTTTTCAAACTTCTATCATGCTCTTTGATTTTTATGTGATTTCTATAATTAAAATAGAGAAGAAAAGCAACACAAATCCTCAGTTATAAAACAGGCCTTATAAGCCCATTATGTAACTCTGAGGTTAGTGTGTATCTTTTAAAAGTGAAAAAAAATCTTAAATTACAATAATAATATACAAAAATAATTTAACACTGCATATCTATTTTATATTTTAAATTTTGAATTATTTTGGCAATGTTTGAAAAAAATCTGCGACCTTTATCCATGTGGCAATTCCCTCCGGCAAAGCAGGTCACAACCCATTCATGCCTGGGGTCCTAGGCCACTCTTATTCCTGTCCTCCCATAAGGTCACCGCAGGGGGTCTAAACAATAAGCTGGCAGCTTTCCTGTCTCTTGACATCACAAGGATACCCATGAAGCACATAAATATCAGGGGTTTATTTCAATATTGCAGGTTTTTAAAATTTTAATTTTCAAATGAATCTCTATTCTGTTTAGACACATCATTTTCCAAAGGTGATTCCCCACTGGTACAAATCTTGGTAAATGGAAGACCCTTCCAGGAAGATTAACAACTTGTTAGGCAACCCATTCTAAAACTCTCCAAATTATCTCCCTGCTTAAGTAATACTTTATCATCTGCATCCTTGGATGAATTTCCTCTTTTTTAATATGCTCTTCTTGGCAAGGTAGCCTTTTATATCCTCCTGCTGAGGGCTACATCCTTTTTAAGAGAGAAACTAGACCTCTTTTTCCCACCCAGCCACCTGACCTCATGCCTCAAAAGACCCCCTTCTTCACACTTCAGATTCCTAGGTTTTATTTCCACATACTCTGCACTAGAACCTTAACGAAAGGAGGAGAGAAAACAGCGTGGACTCTTCTGCACTGTACTCAGGCAGAGGTGATGTTCCCTAAGTATTTCTTCCCACACAAACCTAAAAGTTTGAATGCAGTCAGAGATTCTGGGAAGATTCAACCAACTCTGCTCTTCAGAAGGCCAGTACAGAATATAACCAAATTTAAGTATGCCTATAGTCAGAGAGGTGGTCTTCAGTGGGCAAGATCATCTGTCTAGCAGAAGGCACCAAAAGCTATTTGTGCCCCCTAATCAGAGAAATCTAGAAAAGGAAGGATGGGTTCTTGTTTTTCTTATATTCCTATGAAAGCACTGGACTAGACCATGGGTTGTTAACATTTTTATGCCTTGGGCCCATTTGGCAGTCTTGTGAAGTCCTTGAACTTCTAGCATACAATAGATAAAATTACAAAGGAAACTAAATATATTTAAATACAGGTATCAAAATAACTGGCAAATAGCAAAAAATTAATACTTTATCAAAATACAAAAAATAAATTTGTGGTATACTAATATCTACCAGTAGGTTTAATAGCTTCAGCAGTTTTAAAGTAGTGATGACTGTAAGTTATATTTCAAAATCTCTACCACAACTGTGCCACTACTATTACTATGGTTTGTTGCCTAAATTCACAGTTGAAGAAAATGATCGATTTCAGTTAGGCATTGGTGAAAATGAGGATATCATTTTTCCCATCCCAATTTAGGGGTCTCCTAAAATCCATCCATGGATCCCAGGTCAAGAATCCCTGGAATAGATGGTCCCTAATGTTTCCTTTCAGCTTTAAAACCTGTGATCCTATGATCTTTTCTTAGGCAGCTTGGGGTGGCGGCCTACTGATGTCCCGGAAACATAAATGGAAGCTTAATGGTGTGGAAAGGTAAGCACATTTAGCCAGCAGCTTAATGTTTGGTATCAAAGGCAACTAGCCCACTGAGACTCCAGAGAATCCTGGAATGCAGGTGTGCCTGGCTTTCTGCAGCTCCCACTGATTATGTGAAAATTAAATTCTTCAAAATCAAATCTTCTTAAACACAGCCGAGGAGCTGGCTATTTGAAGACAAAGCTCTTGTGAATTCTTTTGTAACCCAAATAATCATTTCCTAATTTATTTCAATGTACATTGAATTTTTGTACGCCCATTTACTTAAAGTGGGGCACACCTGGGATAATGTCTCATGGTTTTAGTCTTATATTAACTGTTTTCTGCTATAACATTAAATTTTGTTGTTGGTTCGTTTTGCTTGGAGGCTAAGCCCTTACGGAGAATCAGTTTCACATAGCAGATGTGAAAATGATTAGGACAGGGCATACATTTCCAATCCAAAACCAAAATGTGTATGTTGTAAAAAAAGATACTCAAAGCATATTGGCTGCTATGGCAGCTTCAGAAATTGTGGCTGGACACTGGGGGAGGTTCACCCAGTTCTTCCAACAAAGAAGTCTGGCAAAATGCAAGTCTGAGCTACAGTCATTCGCTTTGTCCTCTCCCCTCCCCAATTCAGATGGGAAGTAGAGTTCATTAGAGGCAACCAAATGCTCACCATATCCTGCCAAATAGCCAGATGTTCCCTAGGAAAACAGTCTCCCCACAGGCTCGGTGCCAAAGCTTCTCCTGAAGATGTCCATCCCAGAAACAGAAGGAGGAGCCCAGCGATGTGTGGGGGCATCTGTCAGCCCCAGGTCACAGACAGTGGCGGGACATTGGCAGCCCTGGAGAGGCCAAGACCAGAAGCTAGGCCAATCCGGTTTGGCATGGCAGACAATACGACATCACAGGCAAATAGTTATACCTGGAGAATCAGTTAGTCTAGGAAGAGAGGGAAGCTGGGTGATTAAAGGCAGAGGGTAAAACCAAGGTCAAATCCTGGAGTTTCAAGGCAAATTGGAGAAAATAAATCATGTACAGAGGCAGACTGATCCATGCAAAGCAAAGAGGCCCAAACAGAAGGATAATGTGACTGAATATCATGGGTCTGTGCCAGATTTGATTCAATTCAACAAACATCTCTTAAGCACCTGACATGTGCAAGCATTGTTCTAGCCCCAGCCCAGAGTTCAAACAGGTCAAGAAGGTCCAGAACTATATACAGTTCAATTCTAAAGTATTCATTAAGTACCAACTGTGTACAAGGCAAGTCAAGTGCATACATCAATGATCTAGACTGGTTAAGACAGTACAAGAAATGGATTCTGAGTATTGTGTTAGAGACTTTTAGATGGTGCTGTGGAGAAGAGTGCTGGTTGTATAAATGAAGGTCCTGGGTTCAAATCTCCACTGGGATAGTTACAAAAGACTTAGCTCTGATATTTACTAGGTATGGTTATGGGCAAATTCTCTGCATCTCAGCTGTCTTAGCTAGAAAATGAGGAGGTCAGATTAGATAACCTTCCAAGGCTCTTTCCAGCTTGAAATCTATTCTCCTAAAATGAAGAGGTAACCCTGAAGCCTGAAGTTCAAATGTTATACAAGGAAATAATGAATGAACTCTGAACAGGGAAGTGAATAACTATGGCTCAGGGGCTTATAAAGGTGGGAAGGCACGGTCAACAGCATAGACAGAGTAGAGCTAATAGCCCCAGACCCAGAGGCTGTCTGCCCCCTAACCTGGCTTGAAACGTCCTTCTTCATGCAGGGCGTAAAGGCAGTGAGGGCAAAGAGATGTTACTCTCCCCAGTGAAGCAAGGCTCGATGACTATTACAGCCGGCAATCAAAAAACAAAGACGCGATTGCCTTGTGGCAGAGGAACTCTATTCTCAGCTGAAGGAATTGGGAATGTTGAGCCTGGAGAAAAGAAAACCAGGGGAGGGAGGGAATGATAGCAATGTGGCCAAGTATTTCAGAGGCTGACACATCAGAGAAGGATGAGAATTTGTTCTGTTTAGCCCAAAAGGCAGAACCAGGAGGAATGGGTGGAAGTTGTGAAAAAAAAAAAGGCTTGATGTCAGAAAAAAAAAGAACCTTCTGTAACAATTACAGCCAATCAAAAATGAAACACGCTGTCTCGTTGGCTTTCTCCCTCATTGGAGAGCTTCATGACCCCTTCCTCTTTATGGACTAGATGATTTCTTAAGTGCCAATCCAAAATCGATGACTCCATGACCTTTTCCAAGTTCAGATGCTATTTTTATAACCACTCCTTCTGCTAACCCAATGAGGGCAATACTTGGTGGCTGGAAACAGAACTGTTCCCATATAGACATTACTACTCTTCTGAGAGCTAGTAAGGGTTCAAAAAATTCTTCCTGGAATACCAAACACAGGAACTATAGGCCTTTTTTGGGGGAGGGGCAGAGGGGTAAAGGACAGAACTGACTGTATTCAATTGACAGCTAGGCAGTGAAGTGCATGGAGTACTGAACTTGGAATCAGAAAAAACTCAATTCAAATTCATGCCATGTAAGATACACGTGAAAGAAGTAAAGACATTTAGCCCAGAAAAAGAAGATGAGGGCAGAGAATGGAACAAGATAGCTATTTTCAAATATTAAAGGATTAGCATGTAAAAGAGGAGTTAGCCTCAAGACAGATGGGTTGTGTAGGGGATGGAAGGCTAGGTCTGGACCAGGGGTGAGGAATCTGTGGCCTCAAGGCCACATGTGGCCCTCTAGGTGCTCAAGTGCGGCCCTTTGACTGAATCCAAATTTCACAGAACAAATCCCCTTAATAAAAGGATTTGTTTTGTAAAACATGGACTCAGTCAAAAGGCCACACCCAAGGACCTAAAAGGCCACATGTGACCTCAAGACCACACGTTCCCCACCCCTGGTCTGGACTCTCAATCCCTCTTCAGATACTTACTAGCTATGTGATGCTGGAAAAATCACTTAACCTCAGTGTCCTTATCTGTAAAATAGGAATAATAATAACAGCTACCTCCCAAGATTGTTGTGAGAATAAAATGAGACAATATTTGCAAAGAGCTTTGTAAACCTGAACACACTATAAATACTCATTGTTATTGTTGTCATTGCCGTTGTTATACTTGACCCCAAAGATAAGCACTAGGAACAATAGGTCTGAAGTTATGGAGACGGAGATTTTGGCTCAGAATAGGGAAGAACTTCCCGGGAATTACAGCTGGGCATGTGTGAAATAGGTTGCCTCAGGGAATAGTGAAGTCCCCAACACTGGAGGCTGTAGAATCAGAAATGACGCAGAGGGAATCTCTATTCAGGTACTGGTTAGACTAGGTCATCTTCGAGATACCTTTTTACTCTGAGATTCTGTAAAATAATACGATAGAGGGAAAGAAAGTGTGGGCATTTATAAGGGGTATTGAACTTGGAGTCTTAAAGGACCAGCAACACTTACCAGCTGTACAACTGCATGCCAGTCATCTAAGTCTCAGTTTCCTCATCTGTAAAATAAGGATAATAATTATGCTACCCATCTGATAAAGTTATTGTGATGCTAAAATGAGATAGTCTCAAGGTGCTAATATAAATTTCTGTATTTATTATCATAGACCATTTTTAAAATGTTTAATGGACTCTTCAAGTCCATATTTTCTCTTCCCATTCGTGGGGAATGACACGGTGACTCCAAGAACTCCTGTTGGAGCACAGACACTTTTAGCAGAATAGTGCATCATCTCAATAGTGCTGAGATCTGAACATGTATTTTCTCATCTTAGTTTCTAGCAGAATCAGTATAGAAGCATGGAGAATTCAACACGTACTGTCTATCTCTCTTATGGAAGCATTTGATACATGCTCAGAGCTGTGTCACCTAGGTAACCAAGAAAAGAAGGAAAGTTTAGAAAACAAAGTAATGCAGAGACTTACAAATACTACAGTTTCTTTGGAATACAGGTAACAAATCTCATTGCAGATGTCTTCTTTCTTCTGTTGTTACAGTTAACATTTTTTAGTAGCTACTGTGTGCAGAGACTGGGCTAAGTACAGGAGTGAGGGGAAAGTACAAAGCACACAGTCAATAAGCATTTATTAAATACCTACTATGTGTCAGGCACTAAGTGCTGGGGATACAAATATAAAAATAGTCCCTGTCCTCAAGGAGCTTACAATCTAATGGGAGAAGACAATAAACAAAGGAAGATGAAAAGCAGGTAGGGAGAAGGAAGGATGGGAAAGATGGAGAGAACAGCATGATAGAGGAGTCCAGTCAGGTGGGAAACGGCTGGCCATTTCCCATGATGGCTTCCATGATGGCTGGCCTGAGTGCCTTCCTTAAATGAAGCCTAGGGGAGGAGTTCTTCACTCTGCCCTCCAAATACAGGGGTCCCAAAGCAGCATGAAGTGTGAGTACCAATGTTGATGCAATCTTGCAGGTTAGTGAGGCCCCTGGATGCATGACTGAGAAAAAGCCAAAGGAATGCCGCTAAGTAGAAAATGTGCCGGTTAGGCTCTCTCTGTTGGGAGGGTCAACTTATTGAGACTCACGAGGTCATTTCCTCAAGAGTGGCCACCCTGCTAGTTATATTTCCACTATGGCTTTCTTCTCCCCAACTCCAATCCTGAGGGTCTCCTACTGGTGCCATCAGTCATAGCCCACGTGAAGATGGAGAAGGTGCTGTCTTATTAACCACATCATTTGGGGTCACAAGTATAGGGGATGCTCAGCCAATATTTGTTGTCGGGTTGACTGATACCCATTCACCAAACAGATAGATTGGCTCCTCTCCACCCTCACTTCCTAACTTCGTCCTAAGGCAGAGTCACTAAGAGGTGGGAAGCACATTCATTATTGTGAAAGAAGAGGGAGAAAAAGAGCTCTCTGGATTTCAGCCTGCTTGCCTTCTTCTTCCATCTAGAGCCGGAGGGAGATATATCCTACATGAGACTTCCCACTTTGCTTTGGGTATTTCTCCCAGAGGAGAGTCATGTACTGACTTTGAAAGGAACAGACTGCTACCAGGGAATGTTGGGCTTCCCTGAGCTCCGAATCTTATTAAGGACCCCAAACCAGAAATGGGCATATTTCTTCTTCTCTTCCTCTGTTCACTGGTCCTTTGAGTGCCCCAGGGAAGACTGAATAAGTACCTACAAATGTGAGTGCTCACCGCCCATATGGAAGCACTTTATCTGCTTCTCTTGCCATGATCTTTCTGCTCTTTATGTGTCAAGACAGAGAATTTAAATTCAAGTCATGTTTGTTGGGCCTCATCAGTTCAAATCCTATTTCAGATATATACTGATTGTATGACTCCAGGCAAATTATTTAACCTTTCTCAGGCTTAATTTCCTCCTGTGTAAAATGAAAGTAATAATAGCACCTACATCATAGGGTTGTTGTGAGGATCAAATAAAATAATGCATATGAAACTGTGATAGATGATTAATTGGATCCCTATTTTATTGACCCTCTATTTTATTCCAATCAGTATTAATTAGTTTGATACAATTCCATTGGGGTGATGATTATAAGTTCTGATAGTAGGCCTCAGAGCTGAGAACTACAGATGGTAAATTCACTTGCTTGATCACAGGAAGCTAACTAGAGGACCTCCACCCTTGTTTAAGCCAAGCCCAGCATGGCAGAGGTGACTCAATTTCATGGAAAGTTCCCCAGCTATTTTTGTTGCTCCTCTGTCCCTTGTCATCTCTCTATTGCATGGGGAACATGGGGGGATGACCATGAGCACTTGACCAACAAGTGACCCTGGTTGCCAGCTTACCCATGGGCGTGCTCATCAGGACCTCCTCAAAGGTCAAGATAGGTCTGTCAAGGTCTGCCCGTTAGCCCATTTGTCAACCAATGGGATTCTGTATTTTGTGAGACCTTCCTGGAGGGTGAAGGGCAAGGCCTATCGCCCAGTGAGATGTTGTACTTTTAGTTTACTTCATCTGCATTGTTCAGCTATCAAGGCTCTGGAGGAAGGGGGCATCTCAGATTATGAGAAAGATTCGAGGTCCACTTCATCAGCAGGGGCCATGGACCCTTTAATAAAGTGCCACTGGTTCAGAGCTCTGCCTCAGTGGTTTTTCTTGCAGATTGGACAATTCTTGAATCCCCACAAAACATTCTGCAAACTTTAAAGAGCTATATAAATGCTTGTTGTTGTTGTAAGCATGACACACCAGGAACGGGAAGGAGTACCTTGGAATCCTGAGCCATGCCCATAGAATTTTAGTCACCTGAGACTCTCTCAGTGAAGCTTTTCTCTTACATGGTTTGATTTTATTTCAGGGCCAACTCCGTGACATGGAACCCTCACAAGATGATGGGCGTTCCCTTGCAGTGCTCGGCTCTGCTGGTTAGAGAAGAGGTAGGTTTTGGCTGGTTTCATTTTTATTCCTTCAGAACATTCTCTCCCAAATGGGACATAAATGGTGCATATGGAAATTAGATGATGGTTATAGACAAAACGGGGGCTGCTACATGGTGCGGTAGATAAAGCATCAGGCCTGGACAAAAGGAGACCTGAGTTCAGATTTAGCCTCAGACACTTACTAGCTGTGTAACTCTGGGCAAGTCACTTATCCCTATTTGCCTCAGTTTCCTCATCTGTAAAACGAGCTGGAAAAGGAAATGGAAAACCACTCCAGTATCTTTGCCAAGAAAACTCCAAATAGGGTCACAGAGAGTTGGACACGACTGAAATGACTGAATGACAACAAAACTGAAGAGCGTATTCACACTCTGGTTAAGTTGTTTTTCCCAAGAACCTCTGAAGAATTAAGCTCAGAAGACTCTGAAGGGTAGGAAGGGGGAGAAGACCAAACCTAATATTCAGTCATAGCTTTAGAAGACCCTGCCATTTCGATGGGCATGGTTTCCAAATGGGAATTATTTTAGAGGCAACTAGGTGTCACAATAGATAGATCATTAGGCCTGGAATGAGGAGGACATGAGTTCAAATGCAGCCTCAGATACTTATTTGCTGTGTAATTAGTCATTTCACCTGTTTGCCTCAGTTTCCTCATCTGTAAAATGGGGATAATAACAGCACTTATCCCCCAGCATTGTTGTGAGGATCAATTGAGATAAATCTGTAAAGTCTTAGCCCTATATAAATATTAGCTATTATTATTATTAAATTCAATTTTTAATATCATTTACTTTTATATCACTTTTATTTCTGAATATCCTTTCCTCTTCTCCTATGTAGTGAACCACCCCTCGTAACAAAAAAAAAAATCAAGAGACAAAAAAGAAATTCAGCAAAACTAACGAACATATCAAATGAATCTGAAAGTTTATGCAATATTCCACCCTCAAAGTTCCCCATTTCCACGGAGAAGAGAGGGAAGTACATTTTCTCATGTTTTCTATAGGGCCCGACTTGGTCACTATAATTCCATAATGTTCAGTCTCGTTTTTCCAGATTAAAAAATCAATCAAAACATACTTGTTAACTGCTTATTGTGTAACAAGTATTGTGTTAGGTACTGGGGATACAAAGCAGGGCAAAAACACTGCCCTTCACCTCAAAGAGCTAACATTTTCCTGGAGGAAACAACATATAAATAACTTGGTACACACAAGATATTTACAGAGTAGATGACAGGTTAATTCAGAGAGAGAATGCTTGCAGTTAGATAGACTAAGAAAGGCCTCTTGTGAATATGGGATTTGGGATAAGTCTTGAAAGAGGCACGTGGGGGCACCATAGTGCATAGAGTGCCAGGCATGGAGTCAGGAAGACTCATCTTCCTGAGTTCAAATCCAGCCTCAGACACTTCCTAGCTGTGCGAACCTGGGCAAGTCACTTAACCCTGTTTGCCTCACTTATAAAATGAGCTGGAGAAGGAAATGGCAAGCCACTCTAGTATCTCTGCCAAGAAAACCCCACATGGGGTCACAAAGAGACAGACGACTGAAATGATTAAACAACAATAATAAAATGAGACCAACCTAGGGGATTGTAAGAGGGAGAGATGAAGAGGGCAAGCATTCCAGGCCACATGGACAGTCTGTGAAGGGGCCTAGAGACAGAAGATGGGACACTATGCGTGAAGAACTACAAGAAGGCTAATTTGGCTGGACCGAAGAGTGAGGGAAGGAGAGTAATGGATAGATAAAGCTAGAAACAAAGGGTGGGCCCAGGCTGGCAAAGTCTTTAAATGTCAAACAGAGGTCTTTGTATTTTATCCTAGAGGTAATAGGGAGCCTCTGGAATTTTTTGAGCAAGGGAGTAACATGGTCAAATCTGCACTTAAGGAAAATCGAGTTATCAAGTGTGGAGAATCTGTCCTTTATATTTATTGTGGAGCCATATGCATTTAGAATTGGCTGAAATGAATGGTTCAGATGAGGGGCTGTCTCTGATTCAGTATTTGTTGCTCTCTAACAACTAATTAACAGGAAAAAGCACCTATATTTATCATTATTATTGTCTACATTAGTATTAGTAATGATGATAGCAGCTCAAATGCATAAGGCATTTGAATGTTTTCAAGGCATTTTCTTCACATGAGCCAGGTTATGGAAGCCTCATTGTTCCTATTTTGCAGATAAGGAAACTGAGATTCAGAGAGGTAAAGGTAATATGGTTAGCTTAGCAGGCTTTCCTCAGTGTCAGCACCAGTGCCAACACACACATTCTGGAGACACCCATAGTGTTCAGTGGAACAAACTTCATGCAGGGTTGCCCCCTTCCACTGGGAGAATGTCTTTAGAGAAGACATTTCAGCAGTTTTTCCTGACGTTTTTATGCAAAGACAATGTCAATGTCACTGACCATCACCAAGCATTCATATTCTTTGAACTGGGTTTCCATTAGGCATGCTGGATCATGCTAATTTACTCCCACTCTTAGCCAGTCTTTATTATGATCAGTGACACATATCTATGAGGTTACATACCTGGGGTTAGTTGTGCAGTCTGCAACCATGGAATAGAAGTGAATGTTATATAGTAAAAAGCACCACAGGAGAATAGTGAAAAGAGTCCTCAGCTTGGAGTCAAGAGCCTGTGTTCAAAATCCCAGTTTTGATACTAAAAGTATGACAATGGGTGAACCACTTAACTGTCCTGAGTCTCATTTCCTTATCCACAAAATGGGGGCAATAATGGTTATACTACTTACATCAGTCTTGTCTGTATGATTAGAATAGTCTCCAAATTAGCCTTCCTTCCTAAATTGTCTCCTATCTCCAATCCATCTTCCACACAGTAGCCAGATTAATATGCCTGAAGCATGGTCTGACCATGTCACACCCTTGCTCAAGAAACTCCTATGGTTCCCTCTTGCTTCCAACACAAAACAGAAGCTTCTCTGTTTGACATTTAAAAACCATTTTCAGGACAGTTCCACTCTACCTTTTCAGGCTTCTTGGATATTACTCTCCTTCACATACTCCATCTTATAAGCAAAGTGGCCTGATTCCTCTATTCAACATGCCCATCTCTGCCTCTGTATAGACTGTCCTCCTTGTCTGGAATGCCCTCCTTCTCCTCACCTACACCTCCCAGAATCCCTAGGTTCCTTCAAAGCTCGATTTAAGTTTTACTTCCTACATGAAACCTATCCTCCCCCATTTACTAGCAATTCTGCCTCAGAAACAACTTGGTATCTACTTCGTATGTGGTTTGTATTTACTTATGTATGAAGATGTTGCTTTCCCTCAATAGAAGGTAAGCGCCATGAGGGCAGGGACAATTTCACTTTTGTCTTTATATGCTCAACACCTAGGATGGTGTCTGACACACAGTAGGCATGGAAGATGAGTAATTAATGCTTGTTGAAAAACTTAAAACATTTTATAAAAGTTGGTTATTAATATTTTTCCATCTCTGTAGGAAGCCTAAATGGGCTCTAAATAGGCAGCCAGGTATCATAGCAAAGAGAGTACTGCACTTAGAGTCAGGAAGTCCTGAAGTCAAATCCCTCCTTAGACACTTTCCATTTATGTGACCACAAGCAAGTCACTTAACCCTGTTTGCCTCAGCTTCCTCCTCTGTAAAATGGGGGTATCTCCAGGGTTGTTACGAGGATAAAATGATAATATTTGTAAAGCCCTTTGCAAAATTTAAAGTGCTCTATCGGTGCTAGCTATTATTATCTTTATTCCTCAGACATGTTGTCTTTTCTGCCCCAGTTAGTCTATTTTCATCCATACCTTTTGTAATATTGCATGTGATTTCTTTTTGTTCATTCTAAAAATAATCTGATTATTTTCAAGTCAAAATGGAGTCCAAAGAACAAAATGGACTTTGGTTTATAAGATAGGTATAGGTTTTGTTCATTCTTAGCCTGCATATTCATATCTACAGGCTCTATCTTCAAGTTTTTATTCCATTGTATGTTTAGTTTAATTAAAAAAAAATAGTCCGGGGTCTAATTTCATTACTTATTTTGAAAAACAGTTCCACTTTTTAAGGGACTCTTATCTATTCATGATTCAGGAAGAAAACATACTCCAAAAGGCACTATGGCACTTTGTATAAAAAGACTAGACAAAGGCCTCTTGGGATTCATGACAAGTTACAAAGTATTAGGTAATTTTTAGTGAAGAAATTGGAAGTGATTAAAACAAAACACTTTTTTTTTTTTAACAGAAAGCATGACTTACACTATCCTTTGGGACAATTCAAATGCTTATCATCACTACCCATTTTGCATGACAAGGTTAGGGTACTAAGGTACTAAGATCTTTGCTTCTCACAAAATCCCATTATAATATAATGAGCAATTAAGTTTGATAAGGATACTTTTCACTCTACTAAAAGGTTATCATGATTTCTTGTTATAAAGGCCTAATCTTTAAGGATAGAATGAAAGCATAAGCACATATGTATGGTTATAGTCCAGTAACATTTGACTCTAGGTCCACTTACTATACATAAAACTAATTCAACAGCCAACTGTGTCCATGTCCTTGCTATTGAGAAAAATTATTCCCATTTTTTCTCTTTAATCTCATAGCATGAATCCTTCTGCCTTCATTTTCCAGGTCATAAGCAACCTCACTTGTCACAACAGCAGGACTTTTTAATTATTATTATTATTATTTCAACCCTAAGTATTAGCAAATTTGATGGGATTTCTTTTGCTTTCTCCCTGTCTCTTTAAGGGGTTGATGCAGAGCTGCAACCAGATGCATGCTTCCTACCTCTTTCAACAAGATAAACACTATGACTTGTCTTATGATACTGGAGACAAGGCTTTACAATGTGGGCGCCACGTTGATGTTTTCAAATTATGGCTAATGTGGAGGGCAAAGGTAAGCAAACGTGAGATTTTTGGTTGTTCTCTACAGATAGAAACCAGATCTGATCAGCTCCATTATGCCACGTGATATATTAGTTTCTGGATTGAAAGTGCCTCCCCCAAGATTGAATTCCTTATGTCCAGTTGTGTGTGTGCCTTTTTTTTTCATACCCTCTACGGGGCAGAATATAATCACCTTTGTGTGTATGTGTGCGTGTTTTAAAATGAATAACAAATTGCATCTATTGCTAACTCTTTAGAAAATGAATCCATTCTGATCTGTAACACAGGACTCCCTGTTTTTGTTGTTTTTACCTAGTGATTGAACACTGGGATAGATTAATGTAAGGCCATAAATTATACCTTTGGAGAGCAAGGGGAAAATGCTACAAAAGCTCATTTGTGGCATTGAAAGGGCCACTGAGCTTTTAAAGAAAAACAACCCTAAGTACTTAATCGTCCATCTTCTATACTATTTTTCTGTTTACTTTATAGGACTTTAACTGTAAGCGAATCACTTGTCTCTCTGAAAGTTTGACTCTAGAGCTGAAAATGTGCAGCACTAACTGGGCCTAATTGTAGCTAACAGCATAAATATTATGTTTAAATGTAATCAGGCCAGAAAAGCCCAAAGATGGTTTTTATTTTAACCAGATTCCTGACTTAAACATGACAAATCAGTGGCCAGCCCACCTGGTCCAATTTTGCATTCTGTGAGCAGTGATTGCAATTATCTTAAACAAAGAGGTATTTTTTGAAGTGTGTTAATTATTCTTATAGCTATAGAATAGTGTATTATATTTTCTCTCGGTGTGCCTAGATCAGTGAACGAAGCAGAATATTGCTGTGAGAACCTTCAGCCACCTACTACTCTGCTCTGTACAATTAAAGTTCATTCTATTAGTAACTGCATACATACATGGGTTTTTTCTAGGGGGCAGAGGTAGGTGGTCTGGACTTGTCATTCTATCCGTGTGGAGTATTTCCTGCATGGAAACTCGCACTTTAGATGCAAATTGTTAGAGTTATTTGAGGTAGTGAGAGACTAGGGGACCTGCCAGAGATGGTCATATATAAAATGTGTGTATCAGAGGCGAGATTTGAATCCAGGTCTTCCTGATTCCAAGCCCAACTTTCTATCCACTATATCACAGCAGCAAACAAATTGTACTCATGGGCAAACAAATACACATAGACCAGGAATACAAATGACTCTCTTTGGCTGTGTTTTTTTGTTTTGTTTTGTTTTAATAAACAGACTCTTTCTTCAGTTGGTTGATATAAATTACAAGAAGAATGTTACTATCTTTGAGTTTTCAGCAGAAACTTGATCTCCAAATGCTGTCCAAGGTTACTCATTTTTAGTTAGTGTACCACGATTTTTTTTGTCTCTCTTTTCTACATTGTTTTTATGATTATGGTGATTACTTAAGACATCTACATGAACATGGAGTCTGTGTTCCTTAATGGTTCTTCCGCCCCTGCTGGTAATATTCCGTGTGAGTGCCCTTCAGCACGGAACTTCACAGTAAGGTCTGGCACAACTAATTCAGGTGTCACTGAGTACATCAGGTGGGCGTCTAAAGCCTGACCAGATGAAGTTGAAATAAAAACAAAAGACCCTGTATTTAGGCAGCTGTAAAACAGCAAGAAACCATGAAAGGAAAAGGAGTGAGCAGATACAGCCCAGCTGCAGAATTGTTTCCAGCCAAATGTTTTTAGAGTTTTCCAGGACATAGGTTGACATTGGTTAAAGGATGTATCTTGACATCTAGAATGTAACTATTTCCACTTGTATCTTTTAAATGAACCAGTATTTTTGGATGTGTATAAAAATAATGGATAGAATAGCAGATAGAAAACTATCCATGAAGACAAGTCTTACTTCTGATGATATATACTGGCAGTGTGACTCTGGGCAAGTCACTTAACCTCCCAATGTTCTTAGCTACAGAAAAAGTGCTTATCTGCATTAGTACCCGAGGGAATTTCCTCACCTAGGAGTTTGTAACACCAATAAAATTACAGAACCAACCCTTATTCAAAATAATAATAATAACAACAATAATAAACATAAGCTAACATTTATAAAGTACTTTATGGTTTACAAAGTGCTTTATATAGGTTATCTAATTTGGTATTATAATAATAATAATAGTAACAATTAAGCCAATTCTTCCATAGGTAGATGGGAAGTTGGAGGGATACATGCTATATAAGAATTCTTCATGTTGACCCAGAGAATTAAGCTCCTTTCCCAAGAGAAGTTGATTCTTATTACACACCACAGAACTGGGTCCAGAAAATCAAGTTGAATAATGATAATAATCTAATAAATGTTTCTTGTCCAACATAATTGAGGAATGGGATTTGGGATTAATAATACTTTCTACTTAATAGGAACTAACTACATATTTTATTACCAATTTAAGGCAGCATGGGTGGTAGAAAGGACACTAGATCTGAGGCCAGAGAACCTGGATTCAAATCCTATCTCTGCTACTTACGTGTATGATGTTGGGCAGATAAATCAACTTTTCTGGGCCTTAGGTTTCTTCACTTATAAAAAAGAAAGCTAGATTAGATAATTACTAACACTTTCCAGCATTAAATCTCATGAACCTCAATTATACATGTGTGTATAGATAGATAGATGACAGATGGATAGATAGATAGATAGATAGATAGATAGATAGATAGATAGATAGATAGACAGTAATTTTCTATTAATATGTCTACATACAGCTGCATGGAGGTGGCCTGCTAGACTGAATAAGATAGAGTTAGGCAGCCCTAGCTTCAAATCTCACCTTTGATACTCTGACTTTGACCTCTAAAACCTCTTACAATAAAAAGCTGGTCTCAAAGTCAGGAGTACCTGGGTTGAAGTCCCACCTCGTATTGACTGTATGACCCTGGACAAGCATTTTAACAACTCACTTCACAAGTCTTAGTGTTCTAGGCCAGTGGTCTCAAAAGGACACTAATCTGTACATAAGGATCCCTGCAGGCTGCATATTGACATAGAAAACCACAGATTAACATTATCTATATTCTGTCGTATTTTTATTTATTTTGTAAAATATTTCCCAATTACATTTTAATCTGGTTCAGCCACACTTGGGAATGCTAGCCTCTTTCACACCTCTGCTGTAGACAACCTTCTTAAGACTCTAAGTACTGATTTGCATTTCTCCAATCAATAGTAATTTAGAACATTTTTTTCATTTGGCTATAGATAGCTTTGATTTCTTTGTCTGAAAACTGCCTATTCATATCCTTTGACCATTTGTCAATTGGGGAGTGACTGGTATTTTTATAAAGTTGACTCAGTTCTCTATATATTTGAGAAATGAGGGCTTTATCAGAGGTAGAGGGATTCCCTAGCCCCAGTATGAGTGAAATCACAGATCCATCCCTGTCCCCATCCCTACTACATGCCAGGCACTGTGCTGGTACTGGAGATTTAAATATAAAAATGAGAGAGTCTCTGCCTTCCAGAAGCTCCATCCTACCGGAGGATCACAGGTGGTCGACAATCAGTTCAATATTTATTATCAGAATTCCTGTTGCAGGCATCTTAGCTTCAGGGATCCAGCAATTTTATCTGCAGATGTGAGAGAATTCTAGGACTTAGCAGGTGTTTTGCAAACCAGCTGAGCTGCCAGGACCCATAGTAGTCATGGCATTTCTTGTCTTCCTCCTGCCCCATGGCTTCGTGGGTAACTACCAGATTTCTTACAGTAAGTAAGTTTCAGAGACCAATGTTTGTCTGCTATTGAGCATAAATTGGTACGTTCACTTGCATAACTGTATACGTTCCGTTCAATAAGCCCTTACTTCCCACTTACAAAGTGAATTATAAGTGCCATAGGTAAGGAGTCCATTGCATCAAGTATTTGGGACTACCAGCAAGTGAATACTTGATAGTATTTTTCTATAGGCAAGGACACCAGCTTCCAGAGTGTTTCTCTCCAAACAAGAGGTTGAGATGAGAGACAAAGGATAGAAAGAGAAGGAGAGAAATAGGAATGGCTAAGAGACTTAGCAGCGTCACCTAACATCTGCAGTTCTTCCTGGTACATCTATGTAATAAATCTTCTCCTCCTCTTCCTCCTCATGGTGAGGGGGTTCAATTAGATGACCTCTGAGGTCTCTCCTAGCTCAAAATTTATTTTAATTATAGAACTTTTGAAAATGCTGGTAGGAAAATATGCAAGCTATATGTTGGTGTCATAGAACATCATCTCCCACAGCTTATCAGAAAAAAGGGCATATTAAAAACGTTTAAAATATTTTAATTATTTATTTTAATTATTTTATTTATTATAATTTTATATTATATTTATAATGTTATTATTAGTGTTTGTATATTTAATTAAAATGCTAGAATGCAAGTTCCTTGAGTGCCAAGGCAATTTTACTTCTATCCCGGTGCCTAGCCCTAGCACACAAGTACGTTCTTAGTAAATGTTAATTGACTGATTTCATCCAAAGCTTACCAATTATAGCAAATATTTCTTTATGGTAAGTAAAGTGTTACGTATTTAATGAATAAGGAAACTTAGGTCCATGGAGGTTAAATGATTTGGCCAGGGTCGCACAATGAGTTAATGGCAGAAACAGGAACAGGACTAATTCTGAAGCCTAATCTTTCTCCCTTAATTACTGACTCATCCTGGCCTTGGTCATAACCACTCTATAGCCCTAGAGCTGATTTTCTTAAGATTCACATCCATCCACAGTGGTCCAAAGCTCCAGCTTGGAAGAGAAATGTTTGGTCATCCCAAGGTCCATGGTAAGTGGACCCACATTTCTAGATTAATCCTAAGCAATCAGAACATCCAATGATGGCACACCAGAGCTAGGCTAAAACCCTGTGTTCCACCAGGGCTAAACTAGAACCCACTATTATCCTGGGTCTAAGGGGTTGAGGGAGCATTCTGCAGAAAATAAGATGTCACATCCCTTTGACTTAGACTCTGTTTGATTTGTTAAGAGACAATGACATATGTCTGTGTCTTTTCCCAGCCAGACCACATAAAGTTAGGCTATAAACAGGAAAGTTATCACTTCGAGTTATCCGCCTCGGTTTAATTATTGTTAGAAAAACGTTAAGTGCTCCTGTTATGGGAAGCAGCTATTTTCTAAGTCATTCCGTTGGCACTCAATAAATGTTAAAGGATGAAGGAGACAAATCATTTTAAAAGCAGTTCTCAAGAGCGTGATGTCTTAGGGTTAATCAGTAGGGAATCAAAGCTACTTAGAATTAAGATCATAGGTACAGATATGGTAGGGACTTTAAAAGCATCCAGTCCAACCCCTTCGTTTTACAGACAAGTAAACTGAGGCCCAGCAAGGCTAATCAACTTGCTCAGGGCTACACAGCTGGTTAGTTGTAAAGCTAGGATCTGGACCCAGATTCTTTGACTCCAAATCCAGAGCTCTCTCCACTGCACCACACTGCCTAGTTTATATATTTGCAAAGCTATTTCCAGGGGCTCCAGAAACAAAACTTGAGAGGAAGGCACTACAGAGGCTGTAAAGTAGGAGTTTGGTTTCTGGAATCTGCTTGGACTTTTTTCCAGCTCAGACTGAGAGCTACCTTTCCCCCATCAGGCGCTAACTAAACTTTATGCTCCTTCTCTTAGGGGACCACCGGATTTGAAGCACAGATTGACAAGTGTTTGGAGCTGGCAGAGTATTTATACAATCTCATAAAAAACAGAGAAGGATATGAAATGGTGTTTGATGGGAAGGTATGGCTGTCATTTGATTTACTTAATCCTAACTTTGCTCCAAATGATAAATTATCTGTGCCTTGGGTAAATCATGTCCAGGAAACAGTGCATGGGATGGTAGGTTCTATGATCCAGAATGGTCACTTTAATGGTATATTCATGAGATGCAGAGGTTACAAAAACTCTTATCTAGAGGTTATCTTGGACTCCTCACTCTCTCATCCTCCATGTACAATCGGTTGCTAAATTCTGTTTATTCCACACCTCCTTCCTCCCCTGACACTGTTAGCACCCTGAAAAAGTAAGTTGAAGTCGGAATATAAAGGGAGTTAAATGGAGGGCTTTGCTTTTGTGTTTGTGTTTGTGTCTTATCCTGGGGCCAACAGTGGGTAATGAAATGGTTTTTGATCAGGACAGTAGCATGGCCATATCTATGCCTTTGGAATATCATTTCATTAGCTATGGACAATGGATTAGGTAGGGGAGAGACTGGAATCAAGGAAGACCAGTTAGGAGGCCATCACAATAATCCAGATGAGATATGATGAGGGTCTAGAATGGTAGCAGTAAGAATAAAAATAAACGGACAGACATGGAGAGAGATATGAAAGTAAATCAATAGGTCCTGTAGGTCTTGTGAACTAATTAGACACAGGAAGTAAGATAGGGGAAAATGTATAGTCTGTTTTCCTGTTTTCCAGTGTGGTTTTTCTAATTTCTGCCCCTTCTGTACCCATTAATTCTGGAATAGTTTTTCCATATGCCACATAGACATGCAAGTCCATTACTCAATATAGGTATCTCACATCAACTCCCCATACTATATTTTATAGGACAAATAGATTGAGGCCATAAAGATATATTACTGGGTTGATGTCTCCTGATTTTTTTTAAAGACTGTATATCTCAGGGCAGGTAGGTGGCACAGTGGATAAAGCACCTGCCCTGGAGTCAGGAGGACCTGAGTTCAAAGGGACCTCAGACACTTGATACTTACAAGCTGTGTAACCCTAGGCAAATCACTTAACCCCATTGCCTAGGCAAAAAAAAAACAAAAAAAAAACCATAAAGACTGTATCTCTCTATCTCACCCTAGGCTGGAAGTGCAGGGTCTACTCATGGGCCCATTTCCACTACTGATTGTCAGAAACTTTGACCTGCTCCATTTCAGACCTGGGTCAGTTTGTCCCTTCCTTAGGCAAACCGGTACCCCCTCACCATCTCAGATGGGCTTGTATATCGATGCCAAACTTAGTGCAGACACCTAATGAGCGTGGCCTACTGCTACTCAGCATTCCTGAGCGCAAGAGATCCACCAACCTTAGCTTTCCTAGTAGCTGGGGTTATAGATGTGTGCCACCATACCTAGATCTCCCAATTTATTCCAAACATCACATATATAGCATATCCTGTCATTCATTCATTAAATAAATTCACTGTTAACATACCAGTGATCAGTAGGTGTCTCACAGAGCATAAATCAAAGAATGCTGATTTAGTCATTGGTACTAACCTGCTTTAAATATTAATTATGAAGCAAAGTCTTGTTTGAATTTTTTCCCATGTAGCCTCAGCACACAAACGTCTGCTTCTGGTATATCCCCCCAAGTTTACGGCACTTGGAAGACAATGAAGAAAGAATGAGTCGCCTCTCAAAGGTAAATGATGCATGAGTTCCTATGATATGTATATTGGGTTTTCTACTTATGTATGTATGTATGCATACACATGATGGACAGTATTTAAGAGAAATGTTGACATCTGTACATTGGTTTTTCCACTTGAGTCGTTGTAAACTATTTTGTAAGCATAGAGTGCTTGTTAATAGTGATTTGAGGAAACCTGAAAATGCCTGTGCTCTCAATACCTTCATTTACTTCACCTGTGCTTACAGGAGAATTTATTGTGTCATTAATTAAGTAATCACCCTTCCTCCATTGCCGTAACTAGAGCATTAAAATGGCAGCAGGTACAGGGATGGAATGTTGAAGTGAAGCTGGCTCGCAGGCTCTAGACAGGCAGCAACAGAATACAGCCTTAGTGTCTCTAACTGAAGTATTCATGGTAAGACCATAAGAAAACTCAGCTGTGTGCAGCTCAATAGAGCCCCTTTCAGGAAGGCAACTGATAACAGGATAGTGTCCAGAGGAAGGGGACCAGGACAGTGAAGGGCCTTGAGATCATGCCACATGAGGATTCATTGAAAGGACTGTGGGCACTGAGCCTAGGAAACAGAAGATTTGGAGTGACATGATTTGCTGTTACTGCTGTTCAGTTGTTTCAGTCATATCTGACTCTCCATGACCTCATTTGGGATTTTCTTGGAAGAGAAACTGGAGTGGTTTGTAGTTTCCTTCCCCAGCTCACTTTACAGATAAGGAAACTGAGGCAACAGCATTAAATGATTTGCCCAGGGTCACACAGCTAGTAAGTGTATGAAGCCAGATTTGAACTCAGGTCCTCCTGACTCCAGGGCCTGTGCTCCATCCACTATGCTACCTAGCTGCCCCTGAACAATGTTTTTAAATGTATAGAATAAAATACTTAAGATGACAAATGAAACCTATTATACCGACAGTTATCAAAAAAAAAATTTTTAAATAAGGTCATAGCCCCCAGATTAAGATCCTCTTCTCTGAGACTACTAGTTGTAGAAAATCGGGGGTCTTTATTGATAGAAAAGTGTCTTCGCTACAAATTCCTTTCACCAATGAAATCACAGGTCCTCACCTACAAACTGTGGGGAGCTACCTCCCTTGTGTTAGAGAACTAGCCCAGTTCCTATTAAGCTCGTTACCTGATTCTTAAGGAACCTGAAACAAGTTATTACTCTGCCTTCAATTTCTCCAGGTAGCATACAAAACAAAAGCTGGCCTGCAGAACCTCTCTCTGAGGGATTGTGTGGACAGTGGGCCTTTTCAGAAACTCTGCTACAGGGCAGTACCCATCCAGTGAGTGAGTCAAACACACTTTTGGAGCAGAAACTCGTATGAGATGGCACCTCATGTTCCCTCTTCTATGGGAGTGCTCGTCAAGCGCAGGAATTGTGAGGTCACAGTTGGGAGAAAGTAGGAGAAGTGAAGGAGAATTTCACTTTGAGAAAAATACTTTCTTTTCCTTCTGAATTATCAGAGATTTGCTCCCCCAAATAATCTGAGAAATGAAAAGTTGTATGTGGGTCTTTTTTTAATCATTTCCAAAATTAGTATAGGTTTCATCTTCTTCTGAAGACTGTGGCTAAAAGCAGGTTGTTTTGAATTATCAATTGGAAATTTATTTTAGCTTGGATGAATAATCTGCTTTTTGGTCCCACTTACAGTGACAATGACAAGAAAGCCTTGAGGGGCCCAAAGGCCTGTTCAAGTTCAAGGTTAAAAGTTCCTGTGATCTGGCCTCTCACCTCAAACTTGAACAGACTTCTGGCCTTCTCTGTCTTTCTGTGGCAAGACCAAAAGTCAGGTAACAGGCAGATGAGAGAAGGTAAGCCGTTAAAAATGAATCCAAACCCCTAAGAAATGATCTGAGAGATGACAGACATATTCTTGGAAGGAGTCGCTTGAGAAGAAATGAGAAGAACATTAATTATATGAGAGGAAAATCTGTGATTTTCCTGACGGTGTCAGGAATGATGTTTTCTTATTTAAATTATAAAAACTGCCTTTATTAGTAACTGACTTTACTTATTTTAACAAGAATGCTAGAGTCAGATGAGTCCGTTCTTTTTTCTTTTCCTAAATGAAACCACCAACTAGGGGAAGAATCAATTCAACCGAACAAACATTTATTAAGGACTTACTATCTTCAAGGCACTATGTTAGGCCCCAGCAAGACAGACAAAAACACAACAGTATCTGTCCTCAGGAAACTTACATTCTCCTGGAAGGGTAAAGCTTGTACACAGATGAATATAATACAAGGTAGGATGTGAAGGGGATTAGGGAGAGATTAGACTAAGCAGTGAAGTAACAACTGAGCCAAAAGAAAGCATTAAAAATGAGAGATCAGAGAAGGGGGAGTCAGCATCTGAGCTGATCCTTGAAGGAAGATGAAGATTACGAAATTTATCCAATGGCTCATTTGAATGACACTTTAAAGTTGGCAAAGCACTTTACATACATCATTTGATTTGAGGCTTAAAACAACCCAGATAGATAGATATTTCAAATAAACATTATTAACCCCTGATTACAACTGACTGTAAAAAGTAACAAATGGAATGCTAGGCTAGAAGTCAAGATGACCGGAATTCAAATCCTGCCCTTCCTTCTCCTAGTGGTGTGACCCTAGGCAAGTTACTTAACCTCTGTGTTCCTCAGGAAAATCCATAGGACTTATTTTCTATCTTGGGATGAGTTGGGTTAGATCTGTAATTGGCATAAGGAGTTCCCATATCAGGAATTACAAACAGTGATTACAAATTACAAACAAATCCTGCATATATTCGAATTTACACACAAGGAAATTGAAACTCATTGATTTATCTACATTTATATAGCCAGCAATTGTTAGAGGTAGAATTTGAACTCAGATTTTCCTCTTTAAAATCACAAATGTAGGTTTTAGCATATTGTATAACATATGATAGAAACAGAAATCTTTCCCTGGGAATCAAGGTTATACCATCAAGTCTTTAACATACTCTTGACAATCTGAATATTGGAAGAGGATACTGAGAAACTCGTAACAAATTCTCTCTTCTACCTCTCTGTTTTCATTTGTCTGTTTGGATAATTGCTTTAGCTGCCTGGTCACTAAGAAATGGAAATGTAACCACATATGTATTTTAAGTTTAACCTTTCTCCATTTATATCTAAAATGAATGAGAAAAACATGTTTGAGAAAAGAGTTTTGTTCAATGAAAAGACCTTCAAAAATAATCTAACCAGAGAAGGGCTGAAGGGAAGCAGGTCAGATCTAAGGAATAAAAAGGGCCCATAGAATTGAAGGGGGATAGTGTATATAGCTATATATGTGACTTAAAGAGAGGCCAGAACAGGACCAGGGTAGTGTCCACTTTCCCCAACCCTTAGATAGAGCCAGGGCTTAAGACCAAAGCAGTCCCATTGAGGCAAAGTTGGTTACCGGCCAGAGGGAGTACATTTAATTGATAATAAGGAATTATAATGGGGATCAGATCTTGACAGGTTAATTAGGCAACCTGTTAACCTAAAGGTGGCAGGAAAGTCTTCTGATAATAAAGGAACTGACTGGCCCATTATGAATGCTAGGCAAGGTATCCCATGTTAGGTGGGTCAAAAGCCACTACACCCAGCCTGTGTATAGAAACAAAAAGACAGACCTCTGGACATCAGAAGCAAGTTTCCAGACATAGATAGTCTTATCCTCACAAATAAATGTTTTCAAATTTATTTCTTTTTAACATTTTTTAAAAATGTTCGAATTCTCTCTCTCCAATCCCTACATCACTCATTTAGAAGGCAAGCAATATGATATCAATTATATATGTGAAATCTTGCAAAACTTATTTCCATATTAGGCATGTCACACAGAAAAGGCAAAAAAAAAAAGAAAGGGAAAATTATACTTCAATTTGCACTCAGAGTTCATTAGTTCTCTCTCTCTGGAGGTGGACAGCATTTTTTATCCTGGGTCTTTTGGAATAGTCTTGGGTCACTATTGATCAGAGTAGCTAAGTTGTTCACAGTTGATCATCATTACAATATCATTGTTACTGTGTACAATGATCTCCTGGTTCTACTCATTTCACTCTGCCTTGATTCACATATGTCTTCCCAGGTTTTTCTGAAACCATTCTGCTCATCGTTTCTGATAGCACTATGAGGTCTGGAATTCCCTTGGCTGGGGAACTCTGTACCTTCCCAAGGGCCGATATCCCCATGCACTGGGATATTCTTGGCTTCCCCAAATAGAGGAGTTAATTTTATACCAAAGAAAGAGGCCAGGAGCTCCAGATTGATTATAGATAGTAGTTTAATCAATGGGATTACTTACCGTAATTATGCCAGTCTGGGGTGGCTGCCAGATGAAACAGTCTCAATAATGGATTGATCCCCATGAAAACCCCAGGAAACCCCAGTGATAATTATAGAAATCAGACAAAGGGAGGAGGAGTTATAGAGTGCTTCACTACAGATTGGTGGATATTTTGGGTTTTCTGCTTGGTAATGAGCTCATTTCCGAGCTTGGCCATTAAGCCAGGGCTGTTGGGTAAATGCCCAAACACAGGGTTGTGTACTAGTCATGTACTGATCATTAACTGGTCACTTTGTCCGTGTTATGGCTTTCACTGATCACACTATCTAGGATATGGTTTTCACCAGTCATAGTGTTTTAAGTTATGGCTTTCACTTCTTACTGTGTTTTATGGCTTTTCCCCAATAGGGACTCCACAGCACAATTTACCATAATTTGTTTAGTCATTCCCCAGTTGGTGGGATCCCCTCAATTTCCACTTCTTTGCCACCACAACAAAAGCTCTTATTTTTACAAATTTGATTCAGTTCTCTCTCTCTTATATATATGTATATGTGTGTGTATAATATATATAAAGTGAGATAAAGTGAGGCCTTTATCAGAGAAACTTGCTGCAAACATGAAAAAAGCTGGATTAAAGGGTATGCACAGTTTTACAGCCCTTTGGGCACAGTTCCAAATTTTACTCCAAAATGGTAGGGCC